AGTCCAACATCTAAACCCACAAGCAGTCAGAAGCCAGCGCCCCCTCACTGCAGCAAGAATGATGGTAGCCAGGAGGCAGAAAGACCCCGGATGTCCACCAGCAGGGGAACACACAGACAGAATGTAACGTGGGCACGTACTGAAGTGCTATTCAGCCGTAAACAAGGCTCATGAAGTGCGGATGGAGACACTGTGCTACGTGCAATAAGCCGGACACAAAAGGGTAAATCTTGTGTGAATCTGCTTATGTAAAGTATTTAGAAAAGGCAGTTCTGAAACACTGAAAGCTGATTAGATGCTGGGGTAAGCAGGCATGCAGAATATTCCTGAATGCTTTCAGAGACTCCTGCTTCTCGTGCTGAAATGTTCTAGAATAATGTTGGTGGCTGCGCACACTTAAGTGTAATAAATGCCACTGAATTGTGCATACAAACTGCACGTGTCACATAATTTGTAATTCACAAAACGATCTGTAGAAAGCTGAATCCTAAAGTAGGTCTTATTCTTGAATGGTGAGTTCATTTAATCATTTGGTAACGGCACAAGTTCTTGGCTTTTCTTAGGCCAAGCATGCTGTCACTTGGGTGGGCTCCGCGCTGTGGCTCCCACAGAGTAGGGCTGTTAATGCATCTTGCTTGCCGACTCTGCCACGGCCTGAGCAGTTGTGTGCACATGGTCTGGATCCCGGTCAGTGGCCGGGAAGACACTTGATAGGTGAGCTGGGACATCGGAGTAGACAAAGAAGCAGTTCCCACAGCAGTTGCCTAGAAAGGAGAACGGAAGCCGGCAGCAGCAGAGCCATCTCCGTTTCATTTCCTTTTGTTCTGTCTCCTTCCTGAGTCCCGCTTCCGAGTGCTGTGGTGTGGTGTGCAGAAGAGAAGCAAACCCAAAGAGCCCAGCATTCAGGGCTTTTCCCTCGCAGTGAAGGGGAGCACAGTGCGCAGGATGCTGTTCTTCCTCCTTTGTCTCTGCTTCTGGCATCCAGCTGCAGAGAAGTCACCTGTTAAACTGCTCCCTTTAGACTCAAAAGTCCTAATACACTGTTACAACATGCATTCAGTTTCTTCCCCAAAACTAGTATGCATCCGGGCCATGGATTAACCAAAATCATTCTTTGAGATAACTAATAGTACTCTGTCAGGTAGCAATTTTCTTTTCTTTTCTTTTCTTTTCTTTTCTTTTCTTTTCTTTTCTTTTCGATCCTGGGAATCGAACTCACGACCTCACAGTTGCTAGGCAAGCACTGTGTCACTGAGCTATAATCCCAGTCCCGAGATAACTAATATTACTCTGTATGGACAGAGATATAAACTGTAGATCCACAAAATAAATAAATAAAAGAAAGTATCCCAGAATAATGATCAGTATGATCCAGGGCTCCTTTGATTTTGACACTGAAGAAAGTTTTGTCCTTCATGTGGACATTTGGTACCGAGTGAGACTCAAGGTCTGCCACTACCAGCCGGAAACAAGGGAGTGGACAGAGCAGGCGACCCAGGGCTCAGGCGGCCCATGCGGCCACGCGGTAGCTGGCGGACCTCACGCGAGAAGTGCATCTGTAATCCACATGACGGATTTAACGCGTGCTCTCCAGAATTCATCCAGTAAGTCACTTTTGCAAGAGATTTCTCGGACTTCTAAAATGTTTAGAGTCAGGGGATGCCATTTCTTTATATTTTGTCAAGTACTGATTTTTTAGCTGCCCTTTTCCATGCTAGCTGTAAGGAATCGCAAAGAAAACTCAGACTCTCTTGTTTTCAGTAGCAGCATTAGCCTGGGCACCAGGAATGAGAACGGAGAAGATGCTTAGTTTTGCATGTTACTTCAGGGAATTTTTAAATTAAAAGGGACCCAGAATCCCTCACTGGTATGATTCCCATTTAGAGTCTATTCCCTTTGTCATCAATGCTGGGAAAACTGGCACCCTCTAAGAGAGAGCCTGGGGGATGGCTCAGTGGGAGTGAGACACCAGCACGTTCCAGGTCATGCTCCTGGCCTAGTAGTGTGTCCCCGGTGACCCAAGTGACTGATCCAGCAGGTGAGTCCTCCACAGAGCAGTTTGCAATGATGTGTGTGTCTGTGTTAATCCATTACAGATAATGTTTACTTTTTTCAGTGTATTAGTTTATTTCTCACTTTGATGTTTATTTGTATTCGGTACCTAATTATTCATTTACTTTTCCTCTTTTGGGGCTTTAGCTCACATGGGAGAAAATTAAATAAAGCAAAAAGCCTTAGCAAATCACAAAGGTGAAGTTCGTTGGTTAAAAATGTGAATGAGAGGGTCCGAATGGAGGTGAAGTGATGTGTCGTATCGTGGGGGCAGGAAGGGCCTCCCGAGCTCCGAGAGGAAGCTGTGCGCAGGTCGCAGGTCGCAGGCTGGCGCAGGGAGCGCAGCGTGCCAGTCGCGAAGGACATCGGCTTTCATGCCACCAGTATTGTACTTTGGCTTTGAAACCCAAGTTTTCTCTGCAGAGTAACACCGTCTTTCGCATTAAGTGAATGCTGTTAACTTGAGTGCTGTGGGTTTATTGTTTCTGTGCTTATTCTTTTGTTTTGGTTTTCTTGTTGAATCTGAGCTAGAACATATGGAATTTATTTCTAGTTTTCCATTTTCACATCACTAAGCAATAATATAATTAAAATAATTTAAGTTGATATGTAGATGGTACACACTGATGCTTTTGGCTCCATTAGAAGTGTTTGTATTACTCAGTTTTGAAGAGTAATGCGGTGGATCATAGAATCCTGCACTGTTTTGAGTCTTTAGGCGTCACTCATTCCCTGTCAGGGAAGGCACTGGGCTGTGAGGAGGAGAAGTGCACGTCCAAGACTGAACAGCAGAGACCCGAAGTGCACACGGTTCCCAGCCCACGGTGACAACCCGCCTGCAGGCGGGAGCGATGGCAGCTACTGCCCGACTATGGGGAGGACTGTGTGCAGAGTACTAGAGCCGCAGTACCAACCCAGCCAGCTGCGGGGGAGAAATCTGCACAGTGGGCAGGGCTGATGAAAGTTGGTTTCAGAGCCACAGGCCACAGTGAGTCTGGGCAGTAGCGAGAGGAGACAGCAGCACTGGTGTGCTGTGTTGGTGTTATCCACGAGTCTGAATTGCTCTATAACTTTCCATATAAACAAGCAAAGTCCTGAAGCTCTTTAGATGCAAATCTATTTGTGCTTTTCTATTCTGCATGCATTTAGACAATAAGCTCCTTCTACCTGAGACTTGTACTGTCATAGTTCTTTCAGATGACTGTAACCAGTACTGTAGACTGGGATGATTATAAGCACCTGAAGTCAATGCCTCACAGTTCTGGAGACCAGGAAGTCCAAGATCAAGGTGCTGGCCGGTTCAGTGTGGTGGAGCTGACTGCCTGGTTCACTCGCAGCTGTCTTCTCGTTGTGTCCTCACTTGTAGAGGCGGTCAGGGAGCTCTCGCAGAAGGGCTCCACTCCCATGATCCAGTGAATCACAAAGGCCCCGCTTCCCAATACCATGTCATGGGCTTAGGGTCTTAATAGGTGAGTGTCGGGGGGCTGTGAAGATTCATTCCATTGCATGGACCGTTCATATGGTAAACCACTGCAAAAAAAAAAAAAAATTCCCATGTGAATGTTAGGACTGGGATCATAATGTGTGGGGTGAAGAGTTCATCTGTGATTAATTAGTTGCTCATCACATTAATTTTTATTGCTGCATAAAAATATACCATACCTTAGAGCATAACTCAGCATCTACTTTCAATGATTCCTTACATCAGATTTCTGTTTGTGAATTACCTGGGTCTTTTCTGCAGTTTTACAGAGCAGCAGTCAAGACACTGATCATGCAGTCCTTGGAGCCCTCTTCCCAGCCCCATGCTTGTTGGAAGAATCCTTCCTTGGGGTGTCAGCACTGTGGTGGTTGGGCAGTAAGACTAGTAAGAGGAGGCTTTCTCTTTTAGATCCTCCTAAAGTCTGCACCTAATTAGGTCAGGCACACCGTTGCCTTTCAGCTGATTAAGTCGAGTCCTTAGGGACTTCAATTACATATGTAAAATCCTCTTACCTTTGCCATCTTGTATTGGTTCGAGGTCAGTTATTTGCGTGTTCTGCTTACACTTAGTTGAAGAAGATGACACGGTGACATGGGTACACTGGTACATATTTGAATTCTGCCTATCTTAACTATGAGATAACTCTCTGGGAAATAAATTGTAGTTCAGATTTACAGACATTGAAGTGACATTTGGAGAATATTTATCAGTAGCAAGGTATATGATTATGTAAAAGTTTAGAGGACTAGAAACTTAGTCCTGAACCACTAGTACCAAGACCAGGACTTCTCAACCTCCCCCAGATAGAATAATTCTTGTTGGATGGCTGTCCTGTGCATTCTGAGGTGGCTAGCAGCACTCTGGCCACTGCCAAGAGATGCCCGTAGCAAACCTGCCCCAGCTGTGACAACCAAAAATTATAGCAGACTTTGCCAGATGTCCCTTTGGATGGAAAGACTGTCCCTCAGTAAGAACCACTGCAACAGAAAAATGAAGTGTTTCTCCTATTAAAGGGGACTCTATTTAAACATGAAATTTGTTTCCTTAGTGTGGTGTAGCTGTGTGGAACAGGTAGGCTCTCGCTTTCTGATAATGCCTCTTTCTCAGATTTGCTCATGTTGTTCACTGAGAAACACATGGTTTATAGCTGCAAATAAAAAGCTAACGCAGTAGTTGTGCTCCACACATGCATGCCAGGGTGGAACTATACTATCCTATTTGACTGTGTTTTATAATCTTGCCTGAGTTTATAGTCAAGCCATGTCTTTAGCTCTGCTATAACACAGATCAGATTATTTGCCCAAAGATACTTGATGCATAAGGTAAAGAACAATGAATTCCATTCTTGATATCAGAACTCCTTTCTTGGAAATAAATGATGTAGCTTGGTATGGGACCCTGTGGAAGGCATGGCCCTCTTCTGAAATCACCAAACTGAAATTCTGCTCCTTCCTGTTTTCTCTAGGCAAAGGCAGCTCAAGCATCTCATCTGACGTGAGTTCCAGCACGGATCACACGCCGACCAAAGCCCAGAAGAATGTGGCTACCAGCGAAGGTAGGTGTCGGGTCCTCGTGGCTCCCACCTTCCCTTTAGGGTGCTGGCTGTTATTGGAAGACACAGAAAATGCGGGAGTCTTGGTTCTGTTCTACCGACCGGCAGTGCCTAAGTATGTTGGAAAGGAGAAGGTCGAGGCTCTCTTGGGTTTCTTCTGGTTGTCCTGCTCCAGCTGTTCTTTATGGTGGATTTGCTGGGATTTAAGTGTCGCATCTAAGGCAAAGACCAGTATTTATGTGAAGCTATAGCAGGCTGGTTTCAAGGAGGCCTCGATGATATTATGCACTTGTTTTTTAGTTTGGAAAACAGTTTGATCATGAAACCACTGCACCATGGTTGGAAATGCTTACAAAAGCCTGTAAAACAGTGCTCCTGGGACTAGGGGTGGCCTGATGGGAGGGTCACGGGCAGTGCAATTTTGAGGACTTAAATTAATCACCAACATTTATGAAAAGCAGGAGACATTTTCTTAATTAAAGAATAAGTGAAAAGCGTGCCTATCAGGGCCAAGATTAGAGCCATTGGTATTCTTTGTTTTTGTTGCGGTTTTTTGGGGGAGTACCAGAGATCGAACTCGGGACCTTGTACTTGTAGTGTCATTGGTATTCTTGAAGAATTTGACATCTGTGTTTGTAAAATACATGTTGGGATTTCATTGTTTCACATTACTTGAGGAGTTATCAGTTACTACTTGATTGAGGAATTGTTTATTTTGTAAGGATTTAGTATAAAGTTGACCCAATTGTAGAATCAGTTCCTTTCATTTGAATGTTAAACACAGCTAACTGACTTATTCTGTGAACTCGCGTTGTCTCGAACCTCACTGCTCAATGGAGGTCCAGGGAGCCTCCGCTGGGAGCCTGCAGCGTCAGCCTGTTTGCGTGGTGTTCACGCTGCCTTCCTACGGCGCGCAGAGTGTTGGAGAGACGCACACGTCTGCCTTGCTGCCGAGGCTCAGCGTCTGCTGCATGTGACGCCTGGACACCTGCAGCCGGTGCCGGCGGCTCTCTGCGGCTCGCCTTCGTATCTCGTCTTGGTAGCTTTTGTTTGTTTCAGGCAGCAGAGAAGAGCCTACTTGGGGCTGTTAAATGTATACGTAGCTTCTGTGACAGGATCTTGTTCTTTGTGTTTATGTTTGTGTTAAAGAGATTAAAATAATAGTAAAAAAGAATTAGAAATGATGCAGAATTTTGCTGAACAAAATAATAGGAAGTCAACAGTGGTTGTTATACTGCATAGCGTTGTCTTCAAATTAGTTGTTCAGATGACCAGATATAAGCACGCAAAATTGGTCCAAATAAGTTATAAACAATTTACAAGGAGAGAAAAATAATGAAGCATTAACTGCACCTCTCAATAGACCAGCAGAAATCAGCAGTACAATTATCCAAGCTGTTGTGTGTGTGTGTGTACGTGTGTGTACGTGTGTGTACGTGTGTGTACGTGTGTATCCTTTTTCCTTCCTTCTCTTTTCTTCTTTCCGCTATCCCAGGTGTTCCCTCCCTTTGAACAGCTTCTTTTCCTTCCACAGTGTCCCTTGTACCATTCAGGTCCTCACACGGGCAAGGCCTTGGTTGATAACGTCACCAGCACTGTCAGGAGCACAGATTACAGTGTTTCCCTCTGTGCACTGAAGCACCAGAAAGCAATCCAATTTTAATTTTCTGCCTGTTGACTCAAATATGGGTATTAGACCACTCTTGAGATTCAGTTAAGGTAATGTGCGGATCTCGTTAACTGATTCTAGACATTTGCTTTTCAGGGCCTCATTCTTAGAAGCCAGAGTGCAAATCACGTCAGCCCCATGCAGTGCAATTCTCTCTAGTGAGAAGTATGTTTTGGGAGATAGTCACTTCCTCCCATCATCATTTCTCACTCTTTTTTTCTTTTATGGTGGAACTGGGGATTGAACTCAAGTCTTTGAGCTTGCCAGGGAAGCACTTATTCCACTGAGCCATCTCCCCAGGCCCTGTAGTAACTCACTCTTACTGCAGTGGAAGTCTCATTCGAATGGCATGGAAAGCAAAAGTTAGACATCTAAATAACCTCTGTGTTTCTCTGCATTTAAGTTTTCTTATTATCTTTACCCCTTAAAAATAGAAAATACAGAGCTCTGAGCTTTGTTGCAGGAGTTGGGGAAAGGAACTGTGGGGCTTCATGTGTGTAAAAATATCTGCTCCTAATACTTAAAGAGTAATTCTATAGGGACTTCAAATATTCCCTTACTTTTGCTATTCTCTTAGGAGGAGGTTCAGGCCAAGCCAATAATTTCTACATTTTGCCATACGCATTTTCTGTCATTCCACGGGTAGAACTAGGAGAAGAAAACAGGAAAATGTGACATTTATATGAAACAGAATTTCTAGCAACTGTATTAAATTAGTATGAACCTTCTCTCCAGAGTTTGAGAGGAAGAACCTTACCATTTGAAAGATGCCATTTGCTTGCTTGCATAAGTGAAAAAGTTTGGGGGAGAGTGTCACTTCAGCTATTTTTATGTATGGATTGATGGTGTTACTAATGTTTAGTCAATGCAAATTCAAAATATTACAATACAAACAGTGTGTGTTTAGTTACATAGACAATATTTCAGGGATATCTGCTGCATTTGCAAGATGAAGCCAGGGTAGCCAGTGCTACTTTTCTCTAGGAAGAGGACAGAGCCTTGGCCCATCTCTTGAGCCAAGTGACTGAAGCAGCTCATCCTGCCACCCAGTACTTCCACTGGGCGTGTGAATCTCTTCCCAGAGACACCCAGATAAGCCCTGGAGGCAGCACTGTGGCAAACCATCTGAAGGCAAGTGCTGGCTTCTCCTGCAGGAGGAGCTCATTGGAAAGGGCGCCCTGAGCAGCACACAGTGGGACAGCCCTGGAGAGCCCGGGCCCCGTAGGATCCTGAAGCGCAGGGTGAGTTCCAGCCCAGAAGAGGCGCTGTGGAGGCTACATAGCGAGACCCTGTCTCAGTGTAAAAATTTAATTGAGGGTTGGGATGATAGCTCAGTGCCAAGGTCTCACATTTAATCCTCAGTGCCTCCGCCCAAATAAAAGGGTCCCTCTGATTGTCTTCCTCTTTTCCTGTTGCTTTCAAGAATGTGTAACCTTTGGTGTCAAGAACATACTTGTTGATTTCTAAAAGCGATGGATGCATTGTGATGCATAATGTTCTGTTTTTTCTCCAGCCTTTGAGAATCCTGGCATTATCTAATACAGCTGGGGTAGAAGTACCAGCAGCATTGCTGGTCTTTTCTGGGTTGGGGAAGAGTCTACATTCGTTCCCTGGTTGCTGTTGGTATATGTGTGTACATACATGTACTTGCATGTAGAGATGTGTGGGTGACCTCCACCAGGTGGCTGCAGGTACAGTGGTACAGAAGTGACCTTTATTTACTAGGAAACATGTTGGTAGTGCCCTATACCATCAGTACTGGTGAATACTAGAGAGGTAGAGGAGAGGGAAGGACACTCCGGTGTGCATTGACTTGGGCGTGAAAGGAGAGAAACCGTAAGTGGACACAAGGGAAATTATTGGGACAGTGATGGTGCTCTGCAATTTTATTTCATTTTATGTATTTATGTATTTATGTATTTATTTATTTATTTATTGACAGAACTGGGGATTGGACTCAGGCCCTTGCGCTTGCCAGGCAAGCACTTATTCTACTAAGCTATCTCCCTGGCCCAGGGCTCTGTGATTTTACTAAAAATTATTGAGTTGTGCACACAGAGAGTGCTGCGGGCATCTGCCACCGCTGCATGGGCTTCGGCCTGGAGCTTCACTAGCTCTAGGCTATCCTTTGAAAATGCTGCCTCTTCCCTCTGGGCGGAGAACGTGAATGGTGGCGAGCACTGTCCAGGAGATGAGACCGCCACGGCAGAGCGCAGGGCCGCCGGCCAAGAGCTTCTGTGCCTCTCTCGCTGGTTTGCGAGTGCCTGTGAGCTTCCAGCGAGCACACAGCTCGCTCATCGTAATGCATGCTCTCCTCTGAGGCTCTGGGTGGCCGGAGAGATCAGAGGCTTAGGTCTCAAAAACGCTGTTCTTAGCTTTGATGGTTGTCTGTGACCTCAGCTTAAATATTAGGGTTCTTGGGCCCAGTCTAACATCGGAGGCATCACTTTTGCTCACGCCAGCAATTCTGCTTCTCTGATAATGCCATGCGTTCCTTTCATCTGTCTCAAGTTCCAGCTAGCCTGCCTGCTGTAGGCAGCTCCTCTGTGCATGGTAGGGTTAGAGGGTGACAAAGTGTGGTATTAACCCATGAGAAAATGAGATATTTGACCCACTAGGAGTGTTTTGTTCTAATGTCTCAGGCAAAATTTTGTGACTCAAAAACCACACTCCTTTTAAGGAATTGGCAGCCAGCAGGGTTTTCTCCTTGATAAGTAGTGTAGGCTTTCTTTATAGTCCATTATATTTCTTGTGACAGTTTAAGTTTCTGATTTCCTGACACTGTAGGGGGTTTAGGTTCAAGTGTAGAAAGCTGGAAATGTTCCATTTCTTCCCAACATAATCTGCATTCCAATATAGTAAGACTGCTTAATTCTTTCCAGTTGCGTTGCTATTCTTTCTCTCCTACTTTTCTTCAGTCTTTCTCCTCCATGGGGCATTCTCTCCTAGAAAGAACAGCCTTTGACCTTCAGCAACGAAAGTCACATCCAGCCCGTTCTTGGATAGAGCTCATGGCAGCCAGCCCTGAGCAGATTCAACTGGATTGGGTTAGATCAGCTGGAAGCTTCCTAGAAACAAGAAGCCGAATGTTGGCTCCCATCATAGAACGCAGAAGGAGGAGAACATGGCATTCCGGGTGACGGTTCAACAACTCAGGCTTCTTTGGAGCTAGGATAAAGCAAGCCACTTACTCTGAAGGTGAGAAGTAATGGCTGATGAAGAGTGTGCTTCATCCAGGTGTTCTTTAAATATCACCAAGTTCAGCTACCAGACTCACTGACAGCACAGGTAAGGATGTGAAGGCTGCTTTCTAGGCCCTGATTGCAAAGCCAGG